AATAATCGATAATTCGTATATTTTTTTAGAAAAATCGATTAATAATTAAACGAAGTCGGAAAACAAATCGTTTTTTCGAAAATAATCGATAATTCGTATATTTTTTTAGAAAAATCGATTAATAATTAAACGAAATAGAAAAAAAAACGTTTTTTCAAAAATAATCGATAATTCGATTATTTTTTTAGAAAAATCGATTAATAATTAAACGAAGTCGGAAAACAAATCGTTTTTTCGAAAATAATCGATAATTCGTATATTTTTTTAGAAAAATCGATTAATAATTAAACGAAATAAAAAAAAATAGTTTTTTCAAAAATAATCATTAATTCGATTATTTTTCGATTAATAATTAAACGAAATAGAAAAAAAAATCGTTTTTTCAAAAATAATCGATAATTCGATTATTTTTTTAGAAAAAACGGTTAATAATTAAACGAAATAGGAAAATAATAGTTTTTTCGAAAATAATCGATAATTCGTATATTTTTTTTTAGAAAAATCGATTAATAATTAAACGAAGTCGGAAAACAAATCGTTTTTTCGAAAATAATCGATAATTCGTATATTTTTTTAGAAAAATCGATTAATAATTAAACGAAATAGAAAAAAAAAATAGTTTTTTCAAAAATAATCATTAATTCGATTATTTTAAAAAAAAAATCGATTAATAATTAAACGAAATCGGAAAACAAATCGTTTTTTCGAAAATAATCGATAATTCGTATATTTTTTTAGAAAAATCGATTAATAATTAAACGAAGTCGGAAAACAAATCGTTTTTTCGAAAATAATCGATAATTCGTATATTTTTTTAGAAAAATCGATTAATAATTAAACGAAATAGAAAAAAAAAACGTTTTTTCAAAAATAATCGATAATTCGATTATTTTTTTAGAAAAATCGATTAATAATTAAACGAAGTCGGAAAACAAATCGTTTTTTCGAAAATAATCGATAATTCGTATATTTTTTTAGAAAAATCGATTAATAATTAAACGAAATAAAAAAAAATAGTTTTTTCAAAAATAATCATTAATTCGATTATTTTTCGATTAATAATTAAACGAAATAGAAAAAAAAATCGTTTTTTCAAAAATAATCGATAATTCGATTATTTTTTTAGAAAAAACGGTTAATAATTAAACGAAATAGGAAAATAATAGTTTTTTCGAAAATAATCGATAATTCGTATATTTTTTTTTAGAAAAATCGATTAATAATTAAACGAAGTCGGAAAACAAATCGTTTTTTTCGAAAATAATCGATAATTCGTATATTTTTTTAGAAAAATCGATTAATAATTAAACGAAATAGAAAAAAAAAATAGTTTTTTCAAAAATAATCATTAATTCGATTATTTTTAAAAAAAAAATCGATTAATAATTAAACGAAATCGGAAAACAAATCGTTTTTTCGAAAATAATCGATAATTCGTATATTTTTTTAGAAAAATCGATTAATAATTAAACGAAGTCGGAAAACAAATCGTTTTTTCGAAAATAATCGATAATTCGTATATTTTTTTAGAAAAATCGATTAATAATTAAACGAAATAGAAAAAAAAAACGTTTTTTCAAAAATAATCGATAATTCGATTATTTTTTTAGAAAAATCGATTAATAATTAAACGAAGTCGGAAAACAAATCGTTTTTTCGAAAATAATCGATAATTCGTATATTTTTTTAGAAAAATCGATTAATAATTAAACGAAATAAAAAAAAATAGTTTTTTCAAAAATAATCATTAATTCGATTATTTTTCGATTAATAATTAAACGAAATAGAAAAAAAAAATCGTTTTTTCAAAAATAATCGATAATTCGATTATTTTTTTAGAAAAAACGGTTAATAATTAAACGAAATAGGAAAATAATAGTTTTTTCATAAATAATCGACAACTCGATTATTTTTTTTTAAATCGATTAATTATTAAACGAAATCGAAAAAAAATCGTTTTTTCAAAAATAATCGATATTTCGATTATTTTTTTTATAAAAAAATGATTAATAGTTAAACGAATTGCAAAAAATAGTTTTTTCAAAAATAATTGAAAATTCGATTGATTTTTTAGAAAAATCGATTAATAATTAAACGAAATCGAAAAAAAAATCGTTTTTTTCAAAAATAATCGATAATTCGATTACTTTTTTTTTAGAATAATCGATTAATAATTAAACGAAATAGTAAAAAAGAGTTTTTTCAAAAATGATCGATAATTCGATTATTTTTTTTTAGAAAAATCGATTAATTAAAAGAATAGGAAAAAAAATAGTTTTTTCAAAAATAATCGATATTCGATTCTTTTTTAGAAAAATCGATTAATAATTAAACGAAAGAGGAAAAAAAATAGTTTTTTCAAAAATAATCGATAATTCGATTATTTTTTTAGAAAAATCGATTAATAATTAAACGAAATAGGAAAAAAAAAATAGTTTTTTAAAAATAATTGATAATTCGATTATTTTTTCAAAAGTAATCGATAATTCGATTATTTTTTAAGAAAATGGAATAATAATTAAACGAAATAACAAAAAAAATAGTCATTTCAAAAATAATAGATTATTCGATCATTTTTTTAGAAAAATCGATTAATAATTAAACGAAATAGCAAGAAAAATAGTTTTTTCAAAAATAATAATAAAGCTAATAAAATGTTTAATCAGAAATATAAAAAAAAAGTCCACAAGTAAAGTAAGAGCCTCTAATTAAACAAACTTGCACTAATAATTGACATAAGAATGATTTTTTTGATAATTTAGAATTTTGCTCTTTTGAAATTTAACTATTTTTTCTATAAATTCAAAATTAAATATATAAATAAAAAAATACTTCTAAGTACAAAAATTTATTGATTTATATATTTGTTTAATATATTTTCTACCTATAATAATTTCCGAATAGAAACGATCATTTATTTCTAAAAGAACTCAATATTTCTAATTAAATTTAATTATTGCTCTTTCAAATATAAAAATTAAATAATTTTTCTTCAAATTCGATTTAAAATACCTAAAAGTACAATAAAAAAACAAAAATATTCACAAAATTTAGATTACTAGCTACCAGACGTAGAAATGTAATCAGAATAGATGTTTGTTTAAAATAAATAAAGCAAAATTGTAGAATAGTTTTTAGAACATAAATAATGAATTATTAATTATCAATTATTAATCAATTATCATTCAATCATCAAACATCATAATAATTAATAAATATGAATCTGTATATAGAAGTTTTAATATTTATCCTAAATTAATTGTAAATCTTTCTCAATAGTAAGAAAATCATACTTTTTAAAATTGATATCAATATTAATATAATCATCTTAAATTTGTTTCAGATTAGTCATATCTTGTGTTAAAATGACTAAAAAATTAGAATTATCTCTAATAAATTGTTTGGGAATTGTACATATGTAATAAACAAAAAAAATCTAATGTATCCAATACATAACTTTTCTTTTTAGTTATTACGGGCTATATCCGATTATTTTGTATCTTCCCTTAGAGTATGATACATTTTTCACACAAATTTTACATGAAACATTTTTTTATATATTTTTTGTCAGTGAAAATATAAATTTTAGAAAAATCATGTAAACAACAAAAATTATAGAGATCGATATCGCAAACAACTTTTATTTGAAAAATTTTCTTCTTCAAGATGTTTGACAAATTAAATTTTTATATTTGTTAAAAATATTATAATACAATACCGAAACAACTTATTAGAGATAATGCTAACTTTTTAGTAGTTTTTGCACAAGATATTATTATGATTATTAATATTGATATTAATTTTAGAAAGTTTATAAATGTATAATCATTTTATTGGGTGTCAAAGTATGATTTTGTTACTACTTAAAAAATTTATAATTTTAATTTAGGAAAAATGTTTAATACTTCTATATACAGATTTGGATTAAATTATCATCAATTATTAATTAATAATCAAACATTAATAATAAATAATAATCATTAATAATAGTTAATAATCAATAACAATCATTAGTAATCATTAATAATCATTTATAATCAATATTAATCAATAATAATAATTTATAATCAATAATAATCAATAATAATCATTAATAAACATTAAAAATCATTAATAATCATTAATAATCATTAATAATCATTAATAATCATTAATAATCAATAATAATCAATAATAATCATTAATAAACATTAATAATCATTAAAAATAATTAAAAATCATTAATAATTATTAATAATCATTAATAATCATTAATAATCATTAATAATCATTAATAATCATTAATAATCATTAATAATCATTAATAATCATTAATAATCATTAATAATCATTAATAAATCATTAATAATCATTAAAAATAATTAAAAATCATTAATAATTATTAATAATCATTAATAATAATTAATAATAATAATTAATAATCATTAATAATCAATCATTAATAATCATTAATAATCAATAATAATTAATAATAATCGTTAATAAACATTAATAATCATTAAAAATAATTAAAAATCATTAATAATTATTAATAATCATTAATAATCATTAATAATCATTAATAATCAATCATTAATAATCATTAATAAATCATTAATAATCATTAATACTAATTAATAATCATTAATAATAATTAATAATCATTAATAATAATTAATAATCATTAATAAATCATTAATAATCATTAATAATAATTAATAATCAATAACAATCATTAGTAATCATTAATAATCATTTATAATCAATAATAATCATTAATAATCATTAATAATCTTTAATAATCATTAATAATCATTAAAAATCATTAAAAATCATTAATAATCATTAATAATCATTAATAATCATTAATAATCATTAATAATCATTAATAATCATTAATAATCATTAAAAATCATTAAAAATCATTAAAAATCATTAAAAATCATTAAAAATCATTAATAATCATTAATAATCATTAATAAATCATTAATAATCATTAAAAATAATTAATTAGTAAATATTATCTGCTTTATTCATTTTAATCTACCAATTATGACCACATACCATCGTACCGAAATTAGTAAAATAATTTAGGAACCAATTAAACATTAACACATGGTTTCGGACTGCATGTGCAAACTACCCTTAGAGTCGGCAGATGGAAGCACTTCTCGTTGGATGGTAGGCATCTGAGAAGAATCGATTACGATCGAAGGTCGTTGCGGCATCGGTGGTTGATTAATGGCGGCCGTATTATCGCTAGATTCCGTCGAATCTTGTCGTTCTGTAGACGAACCGCTAGAACCTACATCGGCAGAAGTAAAAGTGAATATGTATGCGAAAATTTCCAATTATGATATTTGAATTTTTTTCTTATTTTGTAGTCATCAAAATTAGTTGCAAAATGTAGAAATATTTTCATATTTTGTTCAACATAGTTTAATTATTGTAGAAACGTTTTCATATTTAGAATAACTGAACTCCGAGTTTTTGTGAAGCCCCGGCGTTTTTTACCCCTACGGACTATTAAACTATCAAGGAATATATTTTTTTAATTTAATTTCTATATTTAATTTGTTCAATAACTTCATTTTGGACTTGTTTGAACTTTTCTTTAAACGAATCATTTTAAATTATATATTGTAAATTTTTACTAATTTATACCTTTTTACTAACAAAAGTGATAAAATTACATTACCTAAATGTCCTGCGCCTGGTGCTTCCCCCTCAACTGCAGACGAACGTTTCAAAGCATTCCTAATTGGCCAAGAGTTACCTCGAAACTCTCGCGTTTCCGTTACGACGCTGAGCAACGTAGCATTTTTCACCGGAAGTCGTTCGATGACATCGTCATCGAAGTCTTCTTCGTCCTCTTCACTGTAACGTCGTTGAATCAAATTTTCCATCACCTTATAGTCCCATTCTTCGGCGCTTCGTAAATGTTCTTTTTCGAAGTTGATTGCTATTTCCGGATTGGACATTTCCGAGGGATTGCGATGGCGACAACCTTTAATAATTATTAATTCAGTATTTTAAAGCGTGTAAGGTTTTTAATAAATGTCAAGCGTTTTAGGCTGTTTAAGCCATCATCGGGACATAGAACATCAATTTAAAAATGTTTATTACTTATAATGCAATACCAAAGCAACTGATTAGAGATAATACCAATTTTTTAATATTTTTCACACAAAATATTATTACTTAACAAATTTTTATTTTTTCAATATTTTCATTGGCAAGAAATATATATAAATGTTTCGAGTAAATTCTGTGTGAAAAATGTATATATTTAGTTCATACGTTAAGGATAAAGCCTGTAATAACTAAAAAGAAAAGTTGCGTGTTGGAAACATTAAATTTTTTTATATTTATTACATATAGTGCAATACCAAAGCAACTAATTAGAGATAATTCCAATTTTTTAGTAGTTTTCACACAAAATATTATTACCAAACAAATTTTTATTTTTTTCAATATTTTCATTGACAAGAAATATATAGTGTCTACTTAAGTTGGAACCATATGGAAAACATTTTTATTATTGATTTTAGGAAAAAAAGTTATTCTTGATAAAAAGTCCTGCATGACCCAAAAATTAAAATACTGTCATCAGATATCAAATTTTTCAAGCCGTATACGAGGTTTGTCAAAAAATATGAATTTTGCTCAAAAGTAAAATCGATTAATTAAACGAAATTGGAAAAAAAGTTTTTTCAAAAATATTATTTTTTAAAAAAAATCGATTAATAATTAAACGAAATAGAAAAAAAATTGGTTTTTTTAAAAATAATCGATTATTCGATTATTTTTTAAGAAAAATCGATTATTAATTAAACGAAATAGGAAAAAAAATAGTTTTTTAAAAAAAAATCAATAGTCCGATAATTCGATTATTTTTTTACAAAATCGAAAATTTTCATTAAGAAATTTGCTAAATTCTTCACAAACATCAACAAAAGGAAAGCGTATCATGTTTATAGTAGCTAACGTAATTTATAACGTTTTCAGATATTTACAATCAATGTGTAGTATAGTTTATAAAAAATAAGAAAATCTGTTTTTTCAGATAGATCCGTGTAATTGCATATTTGAATGTAATATTCAATTCTAATCAACTTTTCTTAATGAAAATTTTCGATTTTGTCAAAAATAAATTTACTTTACTCTTGAGCAAAATTCATATTTTTTGACAAACCTCGTATACGGCTTGAAAAATTTGATATGTGATGACTGTATTTTAGGTTTTGGGTCATGCAGGACTTTTTATCAAGAATAACTTTTTTTCCTAAAATCAATAATAAAAATGTTTTCCATATGGTTCCAACTTAAATATACACACTGTATATAAAAAATGTTTCGAGTAAATTCTGTGTGAAAAATGTATATATTTAGTTTATACGCTAAGGATAAAGCCTGTAATAACTAGAAAGAAAAATTACGTGTTGGAAACATTAAATTTTTTTATATTTATTACATATAGTGCAATACCAAAGCAACTAATTAGAGATAATTCCAATTTTACTAAATAAATTTCTATTTTTTCAATATTTTCATATATATAAAAAACTAACAAACATTTTTTTGGAGACAAATCTAACCAAACTTACTTGGAGGAGATTGTTCAAGTCTAGGAGGAGGCGAAAGTAATCCCGCAGATCGGGTGGGACTTAAAAGTCCGCACATTGACTCCAATTCGTCGGTAATACTCGTATAATCCGTATGCATGCGCATGAGCAACGCCGAACGACTGCCCGTTGTGGGCGGTATGACTTTAATTTTGGGTTCGGTAAAAGTGACTGAACGTTCCGAAGAGACCGTACTAGATGGTAGAGTCGTTGGTTGTTCCGAGGTTTCCGGTTCGGATTGCGTTTGCGAGAATTGCCGTTTGGATAGGGTAGCTTTGGTAGGACATTCATCACCTGAGAGGTAAGGGGTTAGTTGTTTGCAGAAGCTCTAATGATAATGCTGGCTTTTATCAATTTTGAAAAATGGGAGTTTCATATAATAATAAAAAAAACTTTATTTGCAGATATAAAAGGCTGTAAAATGGACTGATGTACAATGAAGACGTCACAAGAATGATTGATTATTAATTAATATTTGATCATTAATTGTAATTGATAATAATAATAATGGTGTAATCCAAAACTGTATATAGAATAAAATTTTTTCCTAAATTTGTAATTTTTCTCAATAGTAAGAAAATTATATTTTCTCTCCAATAAAATGATTATACATTTATAAACTTTTTAAATTCATATCAATATTAATAATCATCGTAAATTTGTTTTAAATTAGTTATTTCTTGTGCAAAACCTACTAAAAAAAATTAGAATTGTCTCTAATGAGTTGCTTAGGAATTGCACTATATCTTTTAACAAATGAGCAAGATCACGTCAAATGGATATTATTACTAATTTGAAACAAATTTATGATGATTATTTTATTATTATCAATTTTAAAACGTTTATTTTTTGCATGTTATTGGGGAAAAGTAAGATTTTTGTACTATTGAGAAAGATTTACAATTTTAATTTGGGAAAAATGTTAAATCTTCTAAATACAGATAATAAACTATAAAAAATGAGAAAATAATGCTAAAGAAGGCTGCAAAATGGACGTGTACAGTGGAGACGCCACAAGACGTGTATATATATATATATATATATATATATATATATACATTTTTTAAAATAATAATGCCTACCCAATCGTTGCAAATCAATTGAAGATATCTTTCTTATTTGTCCTGATGAGACTTTTAAAAACAAAATCCACAATCTTGGCACGATTGGAAGAAAATGTTATCCATTGTTTGATCCCATTTTCCAAAATGTTCAAATTTTAAGTACATCTAGAGTTGAAAAAAAGCATCACATAAGCTTGATAAGCAATTTGTGAACTATGAATTGTGCAAAGAAGAAAAGTAAAGATGATCAGTGATTTTAAGCTCGAATGAAATTTCAGATGGTAGGAAAGGGTAGGTTTTTCGTAATGGATAAGAAAATATGAATTTTGACGTTTGATAAGGAATACTTTTATTTAAATATTCTTTGGACTATTTTAAAAATATGAAGATTTGAAGAAAAAGCTTGTTATCACCGGGATTCGTACCCAAAAATGCTGTTACTTCTAGACTATTAACGACATTGACTGTCGAGATTCCTAGATATAATTTGATGTGCTAGTTCGGGCAAGACAGCGATCAAGTTCGTTCTCAAATCTTCAAATACCTCTATACCTCATCGGTATATATGATAAATGCATTTATGCATACTAAGCCCATATCTCCATCTTCAATGTACGTTAAGAGTATGAAAATTGTGAAGTAATAAATATTATCTATTAAAAGATGTCCTAATTGTGTTTTGACAAATGACATTAAATTATGCTATTTAATTTTACAAATCACGAAATATATGTATGGAATGATCGACAAAATAGTGTTTCTAAGGTAGGCATTAGAAATATTTATTTCCTTTTTAAAGAGTTAGTTTCCATTTAATTCAAAGTCGTGTGTAGTTATTACAGACATGACTCGTATTCTCTGTATTTGTCTATCTTGGAATCGGATAAGCAAATGAAATATATACGAATGAATCTAACGATTACAAGTATTTTGATAATTTAGGGGATTTTTGTTTAGAAAACAAATTATTTGAAAAACATGTAAAAAAAATATCCAAAAATTTTTTTATTACCACCAATTTTTTAAATTTCCCATTTCCCCCAGAATTCCTTACAATTTTTCCAAAATCCACCAATTTTTTAAATTCCCCACTGTTACCCACTATTTTTTTACAATACCTCTACAATTCCCCAATTTTATATTTCCTCAAAAATTTACCCTTCCCCCTTATTTTTCCAAAATTCTTCATAATTCCCCAATTTTTTCAATTAGCCAAAATTTTCCTTTTTTCCCACAATTCCTCACAATTTTTCCAAAATCACACTACATTTCATCCCATTTTTTAAATTCCCCACACATTCCGCATCTCCCCCAGGATTCCCTACTATTTTTCCAAAGTTCCCCAACAATTCCCAACTATTTTTTTGAAATCCTCCACTTTTTAAATTTTCTACCATTTTCCAGAACATCCCTACAATTTTTCTGAAATTCCCGTTTTTTTAATTACACACTATTTTTCAAAATCCCCACAAACCCACAAATTTTTTTATTCCTCCAGAATCCCCCACGATTTTTCCAATATTCCCAATAATTTCACCATTTTTCTTTTTTTCATAACAATTCCATACTATATTTCCAAAGTTCCTCTAGAAATCCCCACTATTTTTCCAAAATCTTGCTACAATTCCCTACTATTTTTCTGAAACTTCCAATTTTTTTAATTCTCCGTTATTTTTCTAATTATTCCTACAGTTTTTCTGAAATTTCCGTTTTATTAATTTCCTGCCATTTTCCCAAAATCTCCCACAATTCCGTTTTTCCAAATCCTTAAAATTTCCTCCTATCCCCACAATTCCCCACTATTTTTTCAAAATACCTAAAAAAATTTAATTCCCCACAAGTTCCCAACTTCCCCCTAAAATATCCACTAGTTTTCCAAAATCCCCACAATTTAACCGTTTTTTAATTTTCCCCACAATTCCATACTATTTTTCTAAAGTTCCTCTAGAAATCCCCACTATTTTTCAAAATCCTGCTACAATTCCTTACTATTTTTCTGAAACTTTTAATTTTTTTTAATTCCCCACCATTTTCCTAATTATCCCTACAATTTTTTATAAAATTTCCCCGTTTTATTAATTTCCCGATATTTTTCCAAAATCCCCCACAATTTTTTTTAAAAAAACCCCCAATTCCCAAATTTTCTAAAAATTATCAAAATGTTCCCTGTATCTCCACAATTCCTCACTATTTTTTTAAAATACCCAATTTTTTTAATTCCCCACAAGTTCCCAACTTCCCCCAGAAATATCCACTAGTTTTCAAAAATCCCTACGATTTCACCATTTTTCAATTTTCCTCACAATTCTCTATTTTTCCAAAGTTCCCCTACAATTCACCATTATTTTTCCAAAGGTCCCCTACTATTTTTCTGAAATCTCTCATTTTTTAATTTCCTATTTTCAAAAATATCCCTACAATTTTTCCGAAATTCCCGTTTTTTAATTCCCCGCTATTTTTTTAAATTCCCCACAAGTCCCGCATTTTTTTATTTCCCCAGAATCCTTCACGATTTCTCCAATATTCCCAATAATTTCACCATTTTTCTTCTTCTCCCCACAATTCTATATTATTTTTCCAAAGTTTCTCTAGAATTACCCACTATTTTTCCAAAATCCTGCTAAAATTCCTCATTACTTTTCCAAAATCCTACTACAATTCATCACTATTTTTCTGAAACTTTCTATTTTTAATTCCCTACTATTTTCCTAATTATCCCTACAATTTTTCTGAAATTGTCCCGTTTTATTAATTCCCCACTATTTTTCTAAAAAAAAAACCTTACAATTTTATAAGAATCATTAAAATTTTCCTGATATTCCCGTTTTATTAATTCCCCATTTTTTTTAAAAATTCCTCAAAATTTTCCCAATATCCCTACAATTTTTTAATTCCTCACTGGTACCCAATTTCTTTCAGAATTATCCACTACTTTTCCAAAATTCCCATAACTTCATCATTTTTTCAATTTTCTTCACAATTCCCTACTATTTTTCCAAAGTTCGTCTACAATGCTCAACTATTTTTCCAAAGTTCCCCTACAATTCCCCATTAATTTTTTGAAATCGCTCATTTTTATAATTTCTTACTATTTTTCAAAATATCTCTACAATTTTTTTTTTAAATTTCCGTTTTTTAATTCCCCGCTATTTTTTCAAAATCCCCACAAATCCCCTAATTTTTTTATTCCCCTAGAATTCCGCATGATTTTTCCAATATTCCCAACAAGTTACCATTTTTCTTTTTTTCTCCACAATTTTATACTATTTTTCCAAAGTTCCTATAGAATTCCCCACTATTTTTCCAAAAATTCTCTAGAATTGCCCACTATTTTTCCAAAATCCTGCTACAATTCCTTACTATTTTTCTGAAACTGCCAATTTTTAATTCCCCACTATTTTCCTAATTATCCCTACAATTTTTCCAAAATCCCCTCAATTTTTTTAAAAATCGTTAAAATTTTCCTAAAATTTCCCCGTTTTTATTAATTTCTTGTTTTTTTTTCCAAAATCTCCCATAATTTTCTCAAATTTTTTAAAAATCCTCAAAATGTCTCTATTTCCACAATTCCCCACTATTTTTTTTGAAATCCCCCATTTTTTAATTTCCTATTTTCCAAAATATCTCTTAACATTTTCTGAAATTTTCGTTTTTGAATTCTCCTCTATTTTTTAAAATCCCCCCAAATCACCTATTTTTTTAATTCCCCCAGAATCCCCCAAGATTTTTGCAATATTCCCAACAATTTCACCATTTTTCTTCTTTTCCTTACAATTCTCTACTATTTTTCCAAAGTTCCTCTAGAATTTCCACTATTTTTCCAAATCCTGCTACAATTCCCCACTGTTTTTTTTAAATTTCCAATTTTTTAACTCCTCACTATTTTCCTAATTATTTATCCCTACAATTTTTCTAAAATTTCTCTGTTTTATCAATTCTCTGCTATTTTTCCAAAATCCCCCACAATAATTATCATATAACATTTGAAACCTTGTCTTTTTTATGAACATTGTTTATTACATTAAAATAAAAAATAAGAGAATTAATTTTATGTAAAATAAAATTTTGCTTGAATTTTCTTTTTTTTTTTTTTATTTACAAAATATTTACAAAAAAAAAAACATTTATATATACTTTCTATGTTAAACGGCGTCCCTTACACGTCAATATTTCATTTATTTATCTGAAATTGCTCTACTTTAGAATAAAAAATTGTAGATCACTCTTTACAATAGCATAAAATTCTTATTTGACACCGGCGCTAAAAATAAAATATTACCGAAAATGATTTATATGTTCTTTAACATTTTGCATGAAATGAATGATAAAACATGCTTGAACCTTCTAAAAAAGAAGTCAATCCAATAAACATCGAGATTAAACAGTAAACACGTTCAGTATCATACCTAATTTCCTCAAAAAATGGCAGAAAGAGAGGCTTTTTGGTGTTAAAAAGGGTGGCCGCAAGTCGCATGCTAGTAGATAAATAAAATTGGAAGCGTTAAAAAATAAAAATCCCATAAAATTATTTTTAAACAATTTTTAGTTAAATTTTTCACATCCTTATTAATAATTAAAAAAAATGGTAATGTAGTCGATGTTAAGTTTTTAGTAAAGCAAACTATCACTATAATTAATTTCAAATTATTATTCAATACGTTAATTAATTAATATTTTAGAAGAAGAATAGAAAATCTACGATTATTAAATTGCGAGTTTTTTAAATGCTTACCATTACCACTTTCGGAGCCTCTTCTGATAGTTCCGGTCGAATCTCGTCTCGATTTCGGTGCAACTTTCGATCTTAGAGCGTCTAAATTGATTCCCGACAAATCGTCAATTATTAAGTCTTCGTTTTTCTTATCGCTATCGGATGATCCTTTCGATTCGGTGCTTTTGGTTCTCTGTCGCATTAAGTTGAGTTTTTGTCTGCTGCCTAGAAATTTAATGAAATTAATCGATGAAAATTTGGTATAAAGATTTTTTATAAACTTATCACTAAAGAAATTTTTATTGTAGGGATTGGGAAATGTCAAAAGAAACTTCAGTACTGTCATTTTAGGTATAATTGAAAACAGTGACGACATTACGGCGCTGTGACGTTATAGAATTGAAAAAAGTTTAATAATTAGAGTTTCTGAACCGCTATCAAGTATTAATTTATTTTGTTGTAAATTAATATCAAAACTTAATGGTACTTTACAATAATTTACACTTTTCGTCACCTGAGTAATGTAATATCCTGTATATCTCTATGTAATTTCAAAATGTGGTCCTTAAACCATTCAATGAATTTTGTTGATACATTTTTTTTTTTCAATATCTCTTGCTACAAGGAAGATGTCAAATTTTTCAACAAGATTGGTATACCCTGTATATAGTGCTGCGAGAATATGTTTCTGTTATGCATTAAATTTGTCAAAAAATGTCTAAAATGCCATAAAAATGTACCAGATTAATTTAAGAGCAAAAACAAAGCAAAAGAAAGCAAAAAAACAAAAAGAACGAACCCAAACAAGAAAGACTCCAACAATATATTTTACACTTCAAATAAACAAACGTTGCTGTATCGCCGAGAAGAAAAAGTACTATATTTTGTTTCGACTCTACTAGAGTATTAGAGTCTCAGAAAATGTTCTTGATCTAGTACAATAGTACTAAACAATTCCAATTTCCCCAAACTTTTTTTCCTTACAATTCCTCACTATTTTTCCAAAATACTCCTACGATTTCCAGAATCATAGAGAAACTTTGAAAAAATAGTATGGAATTATGGGGAAAAAAGGAAAAATAGTATAATTGTGGAGATTTTGGAAAATTGTAGGGGGAATTTGAAGAACTGGTGGGGAACTGTAGGGAAATTTTTAAAAAATGGTAGGAAATTGTGTAGAAAAATAGAGGAAAAGTGGGGGATTTTGGATGCAATTGCGGGGAATTAAAAAAAAAAAACGGGAGAATTTTAGAAAAAATTGTAAGGATATTTAGGAAAATAGCAGGAAATTAAAAAAAATTGAAATTTCAGAAATAAAGTAAAGAATTTTAAGGGAATTTTGGAAAAATAGTAGGGAATTGTAGGGAAACTTTGAAAAAAATAGTAGGCAGCTGTAAAGAAAAGGGGGGAAAATAGTGGAATTGTGGGAATTCTGGAAAAATGGTGAGGAATTGTATGAGGATTTTGGGAAAATAGTGGGAAATTGTAGGGGAACTTTGGAATAATAGTATGAAATTGTAAAGAAAAGAGAAAAAATGGTGGAATTGTTGGGAATTTTGGAAAAATAGTGAGAAATTAATTGTATTGGGATTTTAGAAAAATAGTGTGTAAATTGTAAGAGAACTTTAAAAAAATAGGGAATTATAGAGAAGAGGGAAAATGGTGGAATTGTGAGGAATTGTTGGAGGATTTTGGGAAAATAGTGTGAAATTGTAGGGATTTTGCAAAAATAGTGGGGAATTGTAGGGAGATTTTGAAAAAATAGTGGGTAATTGTAAAGAAAATAGGAAAAATAGTGGAATTGTGAAGGATTTTTAAAAAAAATTGTGAGGAATTGCAGGAGTATTTGAAAAATAGTGAGTAATTGTAGAACTTTTAAAAAATAGTCGAATAGTAGAGAATTATGGGGAAAAGAGGAAAAAATGGAGAAATTGTAAGGATTTTGAAAAAATAGTAGGGAATTCTAGAGGGATTATAGAAAATAGTGGGGACTCGTGGAGTAACTTTGGAATTGTGGGGAGAAAGAAAAGTGTGAGATTTTGAAAAAATAGTGAATAACTTTTGGTGTAAAAGGGAACTCTTATGGAATTTAAAAAAAAAGGGAAGAATTGTAGAATGATTTTAGGTAAATAGTGAGAAGAGAATTCTGAGGAAAAGTCAGAAATCCTGGAGTATTAAGAAATGGAGTGAATTGTAGGAGTTTTGTAAAATAAACAGGGAAATAAAAAAACAGGGAAATTTCAGAAAAATTGTAGGGATATTTAGGAAAATAGTGAGAAATTAAAAAATTAGAAGTTTCAGAAAAATAGTGGGAATTATAGGGGAAACGAGGAAAAATGGTGAAATTGTGGGGGATTTTGAAAAAATAGTGTAGAAATACAGGATTTTGGGAAAATAGTGGAAAATTGTAGAGGAAATTTGAAAAAATAGTAGAGAATTGTGGGGAAAAGAGGAAAAATGATGAAATTGCAGGGATTTTTGTAAAAATTGTGGGGAATTCTGGGGAACTAGTGGAGAATTTTAAAAATAGGTGGTATTGTAGGGGGATTTTGGGAAAGTAGTGGGTATTCTGGGAGAAAGGGGAAACTGGTAAAGCATTAAAAAAATTTGTTAATTTTAAAAATTGGAAGAACTGTGATGGAATTTGAAAAAAATAGTAAGAAATTCTGAGGGAATGAGAACTAGTGTGGTATTAAAAATGGGGAAAATTGTAGAGACATTTTGGGAAAATAGTGGGTAATTGTGGGAAAATAAGAAATATTTGGGATATAAAAATGGTCAAATAGTGGGAGATTTTCAAAAAATAATGCAGAATTCTGAATGCGGAATGTGTGGGGAATTAAAAAAAACGGGATGAAATGTAGTGTGATTTTGGAAAAATAGTGAAGAATTGTGGGAGGAAAAGGAAAATTATGGCTAATTGAAAAAATGGGTAATTGTGAAGAATTTTGCAAAAATAAAGAGGGAAGGGTGAATTTTTAAGGAAATATAAAATAGAGGAGAATTGTAGGGGTGTTTTAGAAAATTAGTTGGTAATTTTGGGGAATTTAAAAAATTGGTTGATTTTGGAAAAATAGCAAGTAATTCATGGCAAATTTATGGGGAATTTAAAAAAAATGTTACTACTGTGAGGAGATTTTGGAAAAATAGTGGGTAATTTGGGAGAAAGGGGAAA